AAGGATCTGTGTACCAAAGGAGGAGATACTCAGAAATCTGTCTGCAGATTGTTACAACCCAGACTGGAAGTGGTGGGCTGTAATAAGAAAGGAGACCAAACAGAGGAGTGGGGGTTCAACAACTGATTTATTTAACCAAAGTAAGGATTTACTAAAGCAAGTTAGTGAACAGAAAATGGCCATCTCAAGGTTTTACTCGGATGTCCCTCAGCAGGGTGCAGCACTGTTGAAGGTCATCTGAATGAAAGCTTGATATGCAGCTTCTTTATGAAAGTGTGTAAATATACAGTGTGGTTGCTGTACATATGTTGAGGTTCTCAGACATCAGGCTCCTTTGCCCAGGCCTTCACTAGTGGGCTATTTTAAAAGTTGGTAAGGAGAAAAACCACAGCATATAGCTGATTGATAACAATCAAAAACCTAGTGTTCTTGGACCAGATGAATGGAGCGCTCCACATGCACTCAGAGATGTTATGGCTTCTGTTTCTATAACTTTACATGCAGACATTTGAGGTTTGCCAGAAAGGAAAGCTGGCCTGTACACTTTGCAGGGCACAATGTCATCAATGAAGAAACCCCTGTCTACAAGATGACCATCTCTAGTTGTAGCATTTTCAACACACCAGATTCCCAGGTTGGTCGCTGATAGTTCCAGCATACAGTGCTGAGACAAAGGTCACTGGCCTATGTGGCACAATCCAAATGAGCCTCCTCAGAGTGCAGTTGAACTTGAGGAAAATATATGACTCTGGAAGAGAGGGGAATATGGCCATTGACACCTCAGATCAGTGCAGTCAAGAATTACTGGTGTTTGGGTAGTCCTGAACGTGTTGTGATGCCCCCACCATCTCATTGGGTTTTCATTTGTGTTTAATTGTGTTTTTCTTCTGTTGTAGGCAGCTGGTTAAGCAGCCTTGGAGGCACCTGGGCTCAGGTGTGGTGCTGCCTACAAAGCCTACTGTTTTTCTGCTTTCACTGGGTCTCTCCTGTGTGGTGGAGAGTCCTCACTGGCCATTTTCTGTTCACTAACTTGCTTTAGTAAATCCTTACTTTTGTTAAATAAATCAGTTGTTGAACCCCCACTCCTCTGTTTGGTCTCCTTTCTTATTACAGCCCACCACTTCCAGTCTGGGTTGTAACAATCTGCAGACAGATTTCTGAGTATCTCCTCCTTTGGTACACAGATCCTTACGGAGCCATGTACTGTGAACAAATAGTTTCTCCATGGATATTATCCAGCAAGGTCCCGTTTTTGTCAAAACAAGGGTGAGGGTAATGAAAAAATAGAAATATTTCATTAAATTAACATTTAAATTATTTATATGCATCATTAAAATAAAAAAAAAACATGTTTTGAAATATATAAAGTGCACCAAACTTGACTCAGTCCATTCAACAATTCTAAATGGACAATTATGTAACTCATCAATTAATTATTTGAAAGGATAATTTGTCAATTAAATACTGAAAAAAAAATAAACAATTCATTAATGAGGCAAGAACTTTTCTCTCTCTCTCTCTCTCTCTCTCTCTCTCTCTCTCTCTCTCTCTCTCTCTCTCTCTCTCTCTCTCTCTCTCTCTCTCTCTCTCTCTCTCTCTCTCTCTCTCTCTCTCTCTCTCTCTCTCTCTCTCTCTCTCTCTCTCTCTCTCTCTCTCTCTCTCTCTCTGAAAGCCCCACTCTAAGGGAGTTTTCTCTCTCTCTCTCTCTCTCTCTCTCTCTCTCTCTCTCTCTCTCTCTCTCTCTCTCTCTCTCTCTCTCTCTCTCTCTCTCTCTCTCTCTGGAAGCCCCACTCTAAGGGAGTTTGCAGTGTATTAGTGAGTCATATATTGTACAACCACAGTCATAAAGTTTTCAATCAGTAGTTTTATTTCAGTATGTATTTTTCCCAGTATCACAAAAAATGTAATTTTATATGGTTAAAACCATCTAGCTTATGTGCACTTTTTAAAACACTGCCCAGCAAACATTCGGACGTTTAATGACAGTTGAACGGTCACAACTGTAAAATACCTGAAAAATTAACATGGCATCTGCTACATTTTCCTTGCCCGCCTCGAACCTGGATCCTCCGGGGCGAGAGTCACCCGCTCTTCCAACTGAGCTATGCCAGCAACTACTTGACTAGCAGACTTTTTTTATATAGATAGGTAGAGGGTAAAGTGCGGGGTACACTAACCAATCAGAGGACAGAGGAGATCTGCCACAGGCCACGCCTCCAGAGTGCCAAAACCCTTACAGCCGAGCGAGCAGGAGTCAGAAACCGAGCGCGCAGAGAGGCTGCCGCGCGCGCACGTTTTCCTCTGCCGTGTGCTCGTTGACAACACGCGCACGCAGGTTTGTCACTTGTGCACATCCTTGTGCGCTCACAGACACAGTTTGCTCCCTCTCAGTGCACAAATGACCTCTCGCCATGTATATTTCCGCTCGCGAGTCCCGTTCACACGCGCGCTGTGGACCCAATGCGCGTGCACGGGTTTTTGACAGGGGTATGACGCGATACGATTTACGCCTGCTGCTGCTGCAGACTCACGCTTCTACTAGAGGCGGCGCAGGCATCAACCTGCGATCTCTGGTTCTGCAGCCGTCAGACACTTTGGCTTTTCCTGCATTTGGCAAATACAGTCATCGGGAGTCTCAACTACCGTCCTGTTAACACTCGCAGCTCTGTGGCTGATCTGAATTCCCTTCAGTGACACAGGGATGGTTATCCTATGAGACACCCGCTCCCTTTTGCTCGGTGCGCCGTTATTATCGCGATGGAGACAATACACAACAGAGAAGTGGAGAAACTATGAGGTGTAAAGAAACTGCTTTTAAGGAAAATGTCTGTGAGAATGAGGAGAGCAGGTCTGAGGTATATCCTCTAACCACACCATTTCTGTCTTAATGTCACTTTATTTATACTTCTGGAATTTATTTTACATATCAAAGCAATTTGGGCCATTTTAATCATGCTAATTAATAACTTTAACACATAACATAGTTTTTGATTTTACTCCCTTTTAATCCTAAAAAAGAACAACAAGATACGTGTCATAAATATGCAGATTAGCATCCGGCGACATCTGGACGACTGTCTGGGCTATGGGGGTTGGCACCGTCGGTGAACGTTGAACCCACGTGCCGGCCCTTTATCACGGCCCCTGTTTACAACATTAGCTCTAAACCAGCGCGCAGAAGCAGAAAGAGGTAAAGTTTGTAACCGGAAGCTGGTGTAGCGGCCCAGCTGCTTCTGGTGAGACGATGAGACCACCAGAACACGGCAGAGCGGGCCGGTACCGAAACACCGCTAAATGAGCAGAAATATGAACGGAGTCTGGTGGTAGATCCTATCAGAGGCGCGTTCCCAGTTAACAACGGGAACACAGCTGATCCGGACGGAACCGGAGCAAACAGAGTGTGTTCTGACCTGGTTCGGAGCGGGTTTGGACCGGGTCAGTGTTCTGTGGAGGACGCAGCCGTGCGCCGTCATGTTGAACAGCAGCCGAACAATAACAGTGAGGTGCATTGTGGGACATGTAGTCCGGGCAGGAGATAACGGAGCAGCGCCTCGCCTGGAAAACAGAGGCGTGGCTGAAAGCCGGTGTCGGTAGATCTTGTACCGACACCGGCGTTTAAATCGGACAGATTTCCCTGCATGTGTAGCTCGGGGGTGACGATGGCTGAAGATATCGCGTTAGCGTTCACACTTGTTCAATTTTCAGTTTTAATCCTGGTGCCTGTTAGCAGCTGAAACACATCCTCACGTGCTTGTGGATATCATATACTGTATATGGAGACATGACTGTAATAATAAGTAAAGGTTATCAGCTGTAGCTTCAGTGTGCTCATAGGAAACGTGACAAAAGAACACAAAACACATTTCTCTTTATGGCCTATATTGTTGTCATCATCAACATAACATGATTTACAGAATACATGTGACCAACTAACATTTCATGTTCTACCACCGGATGTTTGGATCAGAATGTGAACCAATCAGATCTTAGATCAGGTGAGAGCCAGGCGTTTCCCGTCGTCTAGGTTATGCAGCAGGTGTCGGTGCTGGATCGGCTCGGGGTCATTCGACTGCCGATGACGTCACGTTACAGCAAATCTACTCGGCTTTCACACACACTTTTGGAAAGACATCAGCAGTTTAGTTAATAAATTCTTGTTTGTTAACACCTAAATGTTTTCTTTATAATTGTAATTTGTTAATAAAACACCATATCATCTTTGTTTAGTAAAGAATGTGAAACTGCATGAAACCAACATCAGAGAGTGTGTGTGTGTGTGTGTGTGTGTGTGTGTGTGTGTGTGTGCTCTGTCTTCTCCATCCCCAGTGAGTCGTGGAGGATGGCTGCTTATACTGAGCCAGGATTCTCTGGAGGTTTCTTCCTGTTAAAAGGGAGTTTTCTTCTCCACTGTCGCTGCATGCTTGCTTAGTATGAGGATTGCTGTATAGTCACTGACACTAGTCAGTGACTTGATGCAATTTGCTGGGTTCCTTATATAGGAAACATTATTTCTGATTGGCTTAATGAACTGACCTGAATTGGAATGTTTATTATGTGAAGTGCCTTGAGACGACTCTTGTCGTGATTTGGCGCTTTATAAAAAAAAAAAAAAAAAAAAGACTGACAAAAACAGAACAGTTCTTATATGTGAAGCCACGTCTGTTTGTATTAATGTGGAGCTCGTCTGTATATTTCCTTAGTTGTTATCTAAATACATTCTTTGACTCTAAATGTTGCTTGGTGTCTTTCAATAAAGTTCTTATATTTTATTTTGCCCCGTTTCATCAACATCAAGAGCTTTTGAGGGTCACCGCTGATCATTTGCTTATATTTTACATTTCCTTTGGAAATTCAAACATATTTTCTACAAAAAGTGTTGATTTTTGGACTACAGGACTACAACCGCTAAGACTACGACCGCAAATTTGTTCTGACCAATCAAAATCATAACGTGATTACGTCACTTCCATAAGCTTCATGTTCAGCCAATCAACTACTTTGACCCGAGCCGATCCTGCACCCGAGCAGATCCTGCACCCGAGCAGATCCTGTACCCGAGCAGATCCTGCACCCGAGCAGATCCTGTACCCGAGCAGATCCTGCACCCGAGCAGATCCTGCACCCGAGCAGATCCTGTACCCGAGCAGATCCTGTACCCGAGCAGATCCTGCACCCGAGCAGATCCTGTACCGAACACTGTGGAGAGCAACTGCAGCGCCTTGCTCCAAAATCTGCGGCCGCCTTGATCTCACGAGGTTATCGGTGCCTACGTATGCATGACGTCAGAGCAAGTCGGACACAAATCTAACCGGCATGCACTGCTCGCCGGTCACCGCTGGTCTAATCTGCTCAGAACTGGCTCATCTGGAACACGGCCAACGTGATGGCCTAGCCTGGAAAACAGAGGAGGGCAGATGGATGCAGCAGGGGGCGTGGCTAAAAGCTGACGTTTCCCTACATGGAGCTTGCGGATGACGACTGTTCGGTAAATATTGATACTATAGCTTAATTTCTTGACTGTTAAAACATCGGGTGCTCCTTAGGAATAAACAAACGCAGGATTCATCCTTTAGCCTCTACAGGGAGGACGTGACCTTCGAGCTGTCCTGGCAGACCAAGCGAGTCGGTGTTATCAGTAACACTCCCATGAGAAAAGTCTGGGAACTGCTTTGTTGATTCAGTGTGCACCTGGAGCCCAGCAGCTTCCCGCCTGATGGTCTAGTATACTGTGATGTGCGTGTGTGTGTTTCAACTCTGTGCTTCAATAAATACTGCGGAGGACGTAAGTCTGACGAGAGAGCGATCTGAATCATGCTTGGTGTGTGTTGTTTATGATTGGTATTGGTGTTGCTTGATTACTACAACCCCCCGTGCATTAAACGTCCCCTAAGGTAGTCCTGCATTGATACAACTACCTAACAATGATGGCTGAAGGTGTCGCGTTAGCGTTCAGATCTTTGGCCGTGTTCCAGATGAGCCACTTCTGCGCAGACTGGATCAGCGGTGATCGGCGAGCAGTGCATGCAGGTTAGGGTCCGACTTGGTCTGACGTCATGCTAATGCTGAACTACCGCTAACGTCCTACACTGGCTTGCAAATCCAACTCCCAACTCGCCACAAGGCGTGGCCGAGACGCTCGATGCTTTATAACTTTGACACAGAGCTGCTACGTAGTACTCTACTGGTTTATGTAGTACTCTACTGGTTTACGTAGTACTCTACTGGTTTACGTAGTACTCTACTGGTTTACGTAGTACTCTACTGGTTTACGTCGCACTCTACTGGTTTACGTAGTATCTTACTCTTTAGGCTAAAGTGTATTCAAACGGACTCAAACTCTATGTTTTAAGCTGAAGGTGGCGCTATACTGTGGTATTTAGGCAGAATTTTTAAATTTTAAAGAAAATGCACCAAAATGCTAAAATAATGAATGCACACATTTAAAACACTATTAGACACTCATTTATACAGTTCATCAGCAATAAAAGTTCATTTAGACGTTACTTGCTCTTTAAGAACGGTTCCGCTACACCACCGAGCTTCCAATCAGGTTGTTATTACACATTTATATGGAGTTATCACATCTTATTATAATAAATATGCAGCAACCATCAGCGCTACATCCGTCACCCTCTGTGAGCCTGTCGGACCGCCCTTGATGGCGTTAAACTAAAGCGTGCTGATACCGGACCTCCCAGAGCCCTGCCCTAGTGTTACCCCACCACCTGGTGCCATTTCCTCATGAGCACTAACCCCCCCCCCCCCGCACCTACAAGGGGCACGCCCACTTCCTGTCATGGGGCTGGCATGGGGACAACACCGTGGGCCGACACCAACCGTGCTGTCCAGAGCTGTGTTAGGCCGAGTAGTGCTCACAGAAACCTGGCTGCCTGGACCTCCAGGTGGTTCTGGTGCTGCATTGAGGACCTGCTGAGGTCACCCTGACACTGGACCCAGGTTCTGAACTTGACAGCAGCAGAGCTCATGAGCCGGTCCTGCTGCAGGGACACAACAGACACAACTTTGGCTTCTCACCTTTATTAGACAAGAGCATCAGCACATTCAGGACCACAGAGACGTCCTTCAGAGGAACCAGAACCAAGAAAACAACAGCTCAGACTGTAGAACAAGGAGTCCAATCAGCTGGTGTCCCCCTGGACGGGTCAGAGACAGCTGGACAGGACAGGTGAGGGACAGCTGTCCCTAGGCCCTGCGGGTGAAGTGCTGAGAGTCTCTGAACTCCAGGTAGAGGCTGAGGAGCAGGTGCAGGGACTGGATCCTGCTGCTGTAGATGGGGATGTCCAACAGGCAGCAGACGATGTCCACATACTGAGACAGGCTGCAGGCCAGCCGGGCGGAGGGAAGCTGCAGGCGTCCCAGAAGCTCCTCCAGCTCGGCGGGCCACTCCTGCATCAGGCTGTCGATGTCCGGCACCGGCCGGCTGTACTGGACGCTGGCCGGAGGTTTGGACCGGTGCAGAGCGCCGATGCTGTCCACCCA